TCCAGAGGTGGGAAAGGCTTCCAGATACGCCCTGCATCTGATAGCTTTGAGCCTCCTGCTCTTCCTCTTCCTATGTTGAGGACAAGAGCCCCTGAGGTCCTCAAATCATCTCTATTTCCATCTCTTTCAATGATGTCTCTTTACTAAACCCTTGCTTATTCTCTCCACCACAAAAATGGCAGCTTACCACCCAGGGAGCGTTAGTATGTGGCTTGCTTTTAACCTCTGACGTTCCTAACCCAACTTTCTAGAGAAAATGTGATCCTCTTACTGTTGTTATTTAGGGTCTTTCAGCATCTCTGATCCAAGCGTGCAGGGGGCACCACAACACAGTGGTGGAGAGTGATAACCCTGGAGCCAGACTGGTTAGGTTCAAATTCCAGCTCTTCCATTAACTAGCTCTGTTAACTTGGGTATGTTACTTCCCTATGTCTTAGTTTCCTGTCTGTTTTATGGGGATGATGATGATAATCATAATAGTACCATCCTTACGTAGTAGTTGAGGGGAATGAGTGAGTTAAAATCCAAAAGTGTTTCAAACAATGCTTGGCACTCAACAAACATTAGCTGTAGTTTTCTACATGCCCCATGGGAAATGCATCTCAAATTAATCTCTATTGCCTTCCAGGGATAATAGGGAAGGGGAGAAGACTCAAATGATTGTGAAACAGAAAAAAAGATTTTTTAAGATTGCCATAAGAAAAGAGGGGAAAAATAACTAACAGCTTTATGATACTCTTTGAGTTGCAATATGCTTTCATTTACTGCACAAGACATGGTGCTTATAACTGCCCTGGGAGACAGGGAAGGATTAGGAGCCCCATTTTACAGATGAGGGGCAAAGTCACAGGGAAACGTAAGCTCTGAGATTGGAATAAGTAATGGTTTTCTGCTTGATAGCCAGAGTGTGACTCAGTATGTTGCCTCTTGATTCAAACAAACACATAAGAAACAAATAAACATATTTGCTTTCTTCACAGTGCGTGAACATTCTCATTATTTCCATTCTGGTTGTTCTGTTTCCAGTAATCTAGTTTCCCTGCCCCCTTGCCTTCTCATCTTTGTTTTAAAGTAATTGTTGACTGTTTCACCCAGGGCTTTTTAAATCTTTTAATAGTTGCCAACATCTGCCAACCAGAAAATTTTGCATAAAATATGGATTTCTGGCATAGTGGATCATTCCATAGGCAGTCTGAGCCCAGATTCAGATCAGTAGCAAAGCAGAGGTACCACCAACTGAAGAAAATCAGAAAGTTTAGAAAGAAACTAATTTCAGCACACATGTAATTTTTGTGTAATTTTCAAAAATAAAATTTTATTTTATGCTTTAGAAAAACAAACAAACAAAAATTCAGTTCAACACAAAACACTTCCAAGCTGAGTATAATTCACTTGTCTTCCCTTCTGCCTTTTGTATTGCTCATATGAGTTCAATTTTCAAAGATCATCCATAGGGGAAGGGTATTGATTCCCCGGAGTTGGGAAGCAATGATGAACGATTACGAGTTTTGGTGAAGAAAGCAAAGACAAGTCTGCAGCTTACACAGGAGAATAATATTTTCCGTCTGAAGAGGGCAGTATGCAGCCAAGACCAGGTCTGCTCCCGTTCCCTAGGTTTCCTTCTGGATGGTGAAGGCCAGAGGCAGTGCGCCCGTCAGGAGCCCAGGCAACTTGGGCTTCCAAGGGTTTATTTCTGATCGACAAACACATCTTTAGATATGAAATAGGATTCTTGGAGTTTGAGCACACTTACACACCGCCTATAGTTCCAGGGTACAAAAGTGCAAACTGATACTAAGGTGGTTATGCTAAACGGATGGAAGAAACCCTAACGACTTCTTTTCCATGCTCACACACTTGTCTGCCATCCAAAGCGCCTCTATGAAATTAAACAATAGCACAGCATCCCAGATGGTCTCTAATGTTTGCAGAAGAAAGTGTTTCTTTTTCTGCTAAGATGGGCACAACCTGGTTTCTGTTTCCTAAAGCAAAATACCTTCTCACAAACATCCTTTGCACAGAAATAAAATGTTACAAACCGGGATCTTAGCTCCTGGGATGCATTTATCAAGCCAATCATAGTAATTATAATTAGAACACAAACTAAGTGAAAGCTAAGCATGACGTACATTTGCAGAAAACCTGAACTGCATGCAATTAAGCCCTGCTTGCTGGCATTTTGAGGTATGCCATTAATATATTTTAGGGGAGAGGGAGATTGATTTTTTCTTATCTTTGGCTAGTTGCATCAAAGCAGGGGCGTATTAACCAGTAATTAAGGTATGCACAGGCTTACAGTAAGCAAAGAACACACGGGCTTACTTGTGTTTACTTACTAATCTGTAGTGCAAATCTAACCCATGTTTGCACTACAGATTAGTAAGTAAGCACAAGTAAGCCTGTGCTTACCTTGTTTATTGGGTAATCTATTCCTGCATCAAAGGCTTCAAGAGCAGTGAAGAGGAAGGAATAAAGATGCACACTATTAACCGCTGAACTTAAAGCTGTAAGACAGATGTCCAAAGTTAGCTTAACTGGTTATTTAAAAATGTTTTCCTCAGATACACCGTCAAGTATGTTCACTGAGTATTAATTTAACCTAGGTTTATTTTCGGGAGGTGGAGAAGAGAATTGAAAATTTTTAGGGAAACTACAGTTTCAATACCTAGCCTCAGTTTTGGAAGTACATTTGGCCAACAAGGTTGAAAATCCTTCCATGTTCTCCATTGTCCAGAGAAGAATGTCTGCTCTCCTTAGAGACCTTCAGTTCAGGTGACAGCTCTACTGTAAAGCCTTTCCTCTCTTCTCCTCCCCCAATCCTGAGTTTTCTCAGCCCCACAGTGTTTATCTTGCTGGGTTTTAACTGTGTATTTACCTACGTGGTTTTTCTCCCCTGATAGACTGTGACCTCCTTGAGGTCAGAGATTTTCTCTCTAATCTGGGTTTCCAATGCCCAGCACATGACCCAGCACAGAATAGGTGCTTGGAAAATGTTGAATGAAGAACGAGCAAATAAATAAGTGAATGAATGAATGAATGAGGCTTTACCACCTCCTCAGTGCAAGCAAAGGCTCCAGACACCCAGGCCACTTATAGTTCATGAATGAGCTCAGTGCAGTCCAGTCTACATGTCTTGGCTAAATTTCATTTCCTCAGCAGGCCCAAATTCACCCTTCTGGGTCCTGCTCAAACCTTCTCCAGATAACACCTCATCTCTTCCCCCCGCAGGTAGAAGTCAGCTGGCTCTGCAATGGCAACTCCAGACTTTTCTACAGGAGAATATCTAAGGAGAAGCAATCTGGGTTCACGTGGTGAGGGTTGGGGTTGGGGTGGGGGTTGGGGTGGGGGTGGGGGGCGAGGGGTGTAGATGATGACTAAAAATCTCCTTAGAAAGCCACCTTTGCATATAAACACAGGACCTTTACTTAGATTGTATTTTGGGGATGAGCTGGGGAATGGGAGACTCTAGGCCCTGGCGGCACAGTGGTTGAGAGCTTGGCTGCTAACCAAAAAATGCGGCAGTTGGAATCCACAAGCGGCTCCGTGGAAACCCTATGAGGCAGTCCTATTCTGTCCTGTAGGAATGGCAACGGGTTTGGTTGGTTTTTTTTTTTTTTTTTTAGTAGGCCATGCCTTGATGTTGCCAGTATCTCCCCATTTTGTCTTGGGGTGAGAGAGCATAGAATCCTTTATATATAAATACAAACTTTTTATTTTGAGAGAGTTATAGATTCAGAGAGATCCCGGGTACTCTTCATCCAGTTTCCCCCAATTTTGACATCTTGCATAACTATATATGGTACATCACAACGTGGGCATCCACATTGATACAATCCACCCACCTTATTCAGATTGCACCAGTTTTATATGCACTCATTTGTGTGTGTGTGTGTGTGTGTGTGTGTGTGTGTGTGTGTGTGCGCGCGTGCGCTTTATATTTCTGAAAACAGCTCTTTTTCCCCACTGGAGCTTGGGCAGGGGTCCAGTTTGATCTATCCCTGCAAAGAAGTTGGCTCCGCAGGCACCGGTAGATGCTTGTACCGAGGGTGACACATCCTCTCTTGTATACAGTAGGTGCCCAACATACGTCCACATAAACACTTGAACTTGTCAGTGCGTGTGCAAGGGGGAAAAGCAGCATTTTAAGACAGAGCACTGAGTCTGGAGTGTCTAATATTTCAGAGGAAAAAAAGTTGGTTATTTTTCCCACAATTGTGAATTAGCTAGCTGGCATGTGGATGCACATGCTCCGATCGCCGAAGAACACAGTTTTTGAGTCCTATCCTCACCCCACTGGGCCTGGAGAAGTTGGGAGGGGGTCTTTGCAGTGCCCCCAGGGCTCCTCCCACCCTACTCTGACTTTCCCCCTCTTCTTCCCTGGGGCCGGACTGTTTCACCCCGTCTCCAGGCAACCGCCAGGCGCGAGGCGGGACGTCATTTCCTGAAGAGCCCGCGGGGGGAAGGGGTAGGCGAGGGGGAGGGGCGAGGGGGCGGGGCCAAGGCTGGGCTGGCGGCGGCGACGGCGTCGGAACTCGCTGAAAAACGCTGCCCCGGGCGGCTCAACAGTTCGCAAAGTCCGGGCTCCAGGCTGCCCAGCTCCGTCTGCGCCCAGTCGGCGCAGGGGCGCGGGGGCCTCTGAGCGGCTGTATCCCGCGGCTGCTTTGGACATGCCTCGCACCCGCTGCCGGACCCCCGCCCGGCTCCAGCTCGGGGGGCCCTGGGAGCTCTGGGACTAGAGCGCCCCCGCTCCAACTTCTGACTTTGGGGTCCCCCAGCCCAAGAGGAAGGGCAACCCGGCTGGGGGAGCCCCGGGCATGGTGTGACGGTGCGTGAGCTTTGCTGTGTTCTCTACTCTAGCCACCCGTCGTCTTTGTGCCCTCCAGAATGTAGCTGCTGTCTCCGCGCACCCCGGACTCAAGCCGCTGACTTTGCGTCCCCTGGACTCCGCCGCCGTTTCCGCGACCCCCGCGGTCTCAGCGCCCTCGGAACTCTCAGCAGCAGTCTTAGCGAACCCCTGGGATCCGGCCCCTGTCTCCGCCTCCCTCCAACCCAGACTCCAGCCGGCGTCTCCGCGCTCCCTGGGGGATCAAGCTGTCGTGCCAGTTGCCGCGAGCGCAACAGCTGCCCCACCGCGCGCGTCAAGTCCGTTTGGGCCTCGGTGGGGAGATGAACGCGCAGCTGGACGGACTGTCGGTGAGCTCGTCTTCCACCGGCTCGCTGGGCTCGGCGGCCGGGCCGGGTGGCGGCGGGAGTTCGGGGCTGCGGCTACTGTCGGCCAACGTGCGCCAGTTGCACCAGGCGCTGACAGCGCTGCTGAGCGAGGCGGAGCGGGAGCAGTTCACCCACTGCCTGAACGCGTACCACGCGCGCCGGAACGTCTTCGACCTTGTGCGCACCCTGCGCGTCCTGCTGGACAGCCCGGTCAAGCGGCGCCTGCTGCCCATGCTGCGCCTGGTCATCCCGCGCTCCGACCAGCTGCTCTTCGACCAGTACACGGCTGAGGGCCTCTACCTGCCCGCCACCGCCCCCTATAGGCAGCCCGCCTGTGGCGGCCCCGACGGCGCGGGGCCGGGGGAGGTGCGCTTGGTGAGCCTGCGGCGCGCCAAGGCCCACGAGGGCTTGGGCTTTAGCGTCCGCGGGGGTTCGGAGCACGGCGTAGGAATCTATGTGTCGCTGGTGGAGCCCGGCTCTCTGGCGGAGAAGGAAGGGCTGCGAGTCGGGGACCAGATTCTGCGCGTCAATGACAAGTCTCTGGCCCGGGTTACCCACGCTGAGGCCGTCAAGGTAGGGCGGTGGTTTGAGGAGGATGACAGGCAGAGTGGCGCAGATCCTTACATGCTGTGTGCCTTTAGGCAAATCACTAATGTCTCTGGGCCCCATTTTACTTTAAAACAGGATCATTTACTTTATGCAGCAAAAATGTGTCAGGCACTGGGGATGTAGTGAGGGGAAAACATACGAATCCTGTCATGTTAAGGCTTAAAGGCAAGATGTCAAATACTCGGCAAATCTATGATTACAAAGTACGGAGAATGTGGATTCTTATGAGGGTTAAAAGAGGTAAGGATGCTTGCTTGGCATACAGTAAGTACACAGTGGCCGCCGGTGCTGCTGTTGTTATTGTCATTATTCTGTAGGCCTTTACCCCTGAAAGAAAGTTTTGCTAGCTCTTAAGAGCTGGACTGGGGGCGGCTGTTTGGGTGCTGGGCAGAGCCCTGGCCTGCCTGTGCTGTTTGTGCAGGAGGCTGTGTATCTTGGGACAAGTGTTTGCCATCTAGGAACCTCTGGTTCTCCACTTGGAAAATTTGGAAGCTGGACCAGATATGTGGTCCCTAACCTTTTTGGGGTTGAGGCCCCTGCCTTGAATTTCAAAAATAAATCCCCCAGCCCCCACGAGAGCAGTTGTACTTTTTGTGCCTGCTGATTGAGAAAAATATCTGAAAACAAGCTTCTAGGGATTTAATCATGCTGTTTAAAGGAATGTGTGTTTGCCAATCGCACCACCCAGGGCCATTGAAAAGCAGTTGGAGTATGGGATGTAGAGTGTTTGCTCCATATGTGGATTCAAGGACCCCTGTGCATCCCCCCCCCCTTGTGTGTAAGAAGTGAAGAGTTTTGGGGAAAAGGCACAGTGACAGACTCTGCTTGTGCGGGGGGAAAAACCTTCCCAGAGACTTGTGTGGGCCTGTGACCCAGCCTCTCCCTCCCTGTGCCCCCACTTGTGCTCTGTCTTCCTGAACGCTGGTGTTTTGAGCTCCAACTGAAGGGCCTGCTGGCTGCTGGGAGACTAACAGGCAGCAGGGGCCTGGAGTGACCTGTGCCCAGGTGCGTCTTGACTACCTGACTGCACCTCGGACACCGCCACCTCATCTCTGACCTTGGCTTTCCTTATTCATTTCCCACCTTGTCGGCCCCTTTGGGGAGGCATCCTGAAGATTTTGGAAAATTCCTTACAGCTTATGGAAGAAGGCAGGTTGGCTTGTATTGTTGGGAGGTGCAGCGGGCAGAGCTCACTGTGGGTTTCTCTGCCTCCTCCACCTTGCTTTGTCTAACATTACATAGATTTATATAGGAATAGTCCATTAACCTTGGCCCTGAACGGTTCCCTAAAAGGGAACTCCAGGTGATAAATTTATACTCTGAGGATTCTTGATCCAAATGGTGATTTATACATTTGGACTCAATTTTAGAAGCAATTTGAAAAGACTGGGGTAACTTAATCATCACAGGGTGATACTTTGAAAGGGCCAACAGGTAACCCAGACATTACAAGCACTGACTCTTCTTTCAGTTCCCACCCTGACACAACCACGCAGTAAAGGTCCAGCTGCTTGGCTGTGAGATCCAGGTTGCCAGCAGGGCTTCCCCGTGCTGCCCCTTCCCCACAATTTTGATGGCTGTCTGAACCTCCCGAAACTACACCTTGTGCTTTTTGTGACTCGAGCAGCACTAGGCCTTAGCTTGTTTATTTGCTCTTATTGTTTCCAGAGTAAAGCCTAAACTCTCTCATGGCGTAGTTCTGAAGCCTGAAAACTAATACTTGCCCCTAAGGAAAAGGTTGTTAAGAGCAGAAATGCCCTTGAAGTGTGGGGCCCATGGCCCAGGAGCCTTTGTGGGCTCAGTAGCCCTCTTTGTCCCCTACTGTCATTTTTCTTCAGGAGGCCTCTGCTAGGGCAGAACAGATGCCTGTCTCAGGTTTGCCTTTCTTTCGACCGCCCAGGCACAGAACCTGCTCAGGATGGACCCCTTTGGACCCTTCAGAGGCAACAGGCAAAATGAGTGCTGCTTCGTGTCACCTTAGCTCCGGGGGAAAAGGGGACAGACGTTTGGTGGGTAGAATTTAAAACGGAGGACGTGGAATTTAGTCTCTGAGGCTGCCTTGCCTTGGGGTAGCGCGATGGGCAGATATTTTCAGGGACAATTTGAAAGAGCAGTTGGAGAGCTGTTGACACATTTCCACAAAATTCAGAGTGGAAAGTCCCTTAACTGAAAGCCAGGAGAGACCAGGCCTTCTCCGCTGGTGCAGGCTGCTTCAGCCAGGATTTCTCCACCTGGAGCTCTTGTTTGTAAGCTGCAGTGCTGAGGGCACGGTGTCTGGGATTTTATGGTAAAGGTGACCAGTTCAATTATGTTTCATACGTTTGTTCGATGGCTTTCCATCTCCTCTTCCCAGAACGGGCCCTGCTTTCCTCGTTGCTCCTGATGGTGCGCCGCTGATAGGAAAGGTCAACACTGGTACATTGGTCTTCTTTCATCTCAAGTCATGTGGCTCTTTTAAAAGATATATTTCTTGGGGGGTTGCTTTATTATTGTTATTTAAGTGAGCTTTTTTTTTTTTTTTTTTAGGTATATAAGTTTTTTTTCTGGAGTAATTTTAGATTTACAGAAAAGTTGCAAAGATAACATAGAGAGGTCCCTATATACTTTACCCAGCTTCCCCTGAGGACAACATCTCACATAACCATGGTACATTTAGTTAAGAAATTAGCATTGATATGTTACTATTAACTGAACTTCAGACTTTATTTGAATTTCACTAGTTTTTCACCTATTGTCCTTTTTTCTGTTCCAGGATACCATATTGCGTTTGGTAAAAGTTGTGTTTTCAACCTTAACATCTTTTTCTTTTGTGGGTGGAAGGAGGGAGAAAGATTCTTTTAGTATTCCAAAAGAAGAGATTAATTGATTCTGTGTGTGTATGTGTACAATAAAAATGAAATAAAATTTTAGGAATCAGGTTATGTGAGAGAGATTAAGAGAGATTTTATGAACCAGGAAGGATCAGCTCCTCCCAGTGAACAGCTCTTCAAAGATGAAATTGAACATACAAAGTTTTTTCCTCCTCTCTTTCTGAGAATCAAGCATCCCTTGTTACCCAGAGTAGTTCAGTGAGGATTTTATCCAATGTCTGGTGGGGCTCCCATTCCTTTATTGAAGCCTGTTTGTTAAATCAGCAGTGACAGGTCCAGATAAGGCAAGCCATTTACTATTTGCAATTATGTTGAAACCTTTGATTCTTGGAAAAAAAAAAGAAAAAACTATCTTAAATGAATGGGAGCCAAACTAATAATAATAAAAAAGGAGACCTTTCAAAGTTTTTCAGCCAAAAAAACTTGATAAATTAGCCAAGGAGTCTACAGACCAAGATGCTGCATTGGACTATACCGCACGCTTGCTGTGTGACCTTGGGTGAGTTACTGTCCCCCTCTGGGTCCAAGGCAGATGGACTATGCGCTATATAAAGTCCCTTCCAGCTGATATGCTACACAGAAGGTTAGAAAGCCTAATTTGATGTTTTTTTGTTCTCTTGGAATTGCTTTCGTTTAAAGCAGAGTAAAGAAAATTGGCTAAGGATTGGGAGACGAGAATCTTGGCACTCTTGTGTAGCCTCCTACTAAATCAGGAAATTGGTGGGTTACAGTCTGTACTGATGAGAACTTGACAGCTGTCTCTCGACCCTAGAACACCAACCCTGGTGCTATTCCAGGGTAAATGAGAGCACAACTATAGGATTCTGGCACAAACAGCACTGCCCTGGGAGCACTCAAAATCAAATTCACTTACACGATTGCTTTCTGAGTCCCCTGGTTCTACGGGTAGCAGAATGCAGGGTATCCAGGTGCTGCTGGGATGTGTGTGCGTGTCTGTATATGTGTGTGTGTCATTTCGATAAAATTTAAACAGCTTCATTATTACAGTCTCAGCATCCCCACGGGTAAATCCAAGCAGCATATTAGAATTTGAAACGCTCCCGAAGTTAAAAACAGTTGCCGGCCCTTTCATTTAATTAGAGTTATCACACCCTGCATTCCTTTGCATAATAACCCTGAAAGAATCTGTCCATATTAATATAAGTCGTTGTATTTGGTCTGGCAGGTTCTAAATGACACATTTGTCATTTTCCCAGTACATGGTTAGCTGCAGCCATTACAAATTAGTACCACTTCCAACTTTGTATCTGAAATGCAGCCTCTCCCACTGGTCTCATTCCTATATTCCAATTTGGAAACTATGGGTAATGCTTTCATGGGTATGCTCAGACTTTCCTCTGCCCTGGATTCATTCTTGGGTCCTGTGAGCCCTGCCAGCAATGACATGTTGAGAGCTCACTATTAATAAACCCTTGATTGAATTGAGTTTTGGTTGCTGCATATCCAAACAGGTGTGATGCACTACACTGAGGGGGTCCATTTCCTTTAATTTAGTCTTGTATATTTACTTGGCTCAGGCAGACACTTGGGGTTTTAGAAAATTATGTTGCCTTTGTAGGAACAAAAAAATATTTCAGCTGGTTATTTACTGTTCAAACCAAAGAAGCATTTTAGGTAGAGTGGAAAAAAATGCCTTTATTTTTGAAGAATCAATACTTTTATGGTAGAAGATTCCGGTTAAGCTGGACATGAAAGAGATCTAGAATCACCCCTGCTCTCTGTTTGCGCTTTCCTGCCGCTCGCCTCTGCTGACATAACCAGTGTTGTTTATTACGTGCAATGGACTCATCATTTGGACAGAGCTGCAAAGAGGAGTAGAATCCTTTAACCCCTAACCAATTGGGTTTTGTGTGTGTTGTTGCTTCCCACCTCCACCTGCCTGCAGCCTGTAGGCACCTGTCAAATGCACGTAGCCCCTCACACACCTGTCTGCTCACGCCCGCACATGCATGTCTCCTCGGAGCCATAATGTCACCCCTCCCCTTCAAAGGGCTGTGCACTGAAGCAGGCACTCATAGGGGATTAGGCTCCCATGGACTTTCTAGCAGGGGTCTTTTATGACCTAGAAGGGCA